ATGATATAGATGATGATGATGATGATGATATTATGATACAGATAATGATAGTGATGATAGTGATGATGATGGTGGTGATGATAGTGACGATGATGATGATGATGATGATGATGATGATGATGATGATGATGATGATGTTGATGATAGTGGTGACTAAATTACTTTCATGACGATGACGATGATGATTGCAACGATTACAATTATGATAATGAAGTGATAAAATCTCAATCATTTGATGACAATGATTAAAATGATGTTAATTGTGCAATGACATCAAATTAACGTTATGTGCGTGTGTATTCATTATGCGTGCGTGTGCGTGTGTGCATGTGTGTGTGTGTGTGTGTTTGTGTACGCGCGCGCTCATGTTTGTCAGCTGGAATCGTCTTTCTACATTTACTTCATTGTACAAACAACATACATAAGATAGTTCGTGATGTCTCTAATGATGATGATGATGAAGATGAGACGATGATGATGATGAAGGTGATGAAGATGGTAATGATGATGGTAACGATGATGATAATGATGATTTCACAAAAAGAGTCATTATTTATCATCATCTATATTTTGCATCATCGTCACCTTTATCATCATCATTATTACATATGGTATTGGTAGTATTTTATATGTAGTAGTAGTAGTAAGATGCATTTGCATAACAACAGTTTCATTAAATTTTCATGATGAATTCTGATAATTCTAATTTCAATGCAATGAACAATTTTCAGAAAATTGAAAAGACAAACTTCAAATTGATTAATGCCAAAAATTTGGTAGAATTCATTTAATACTATAAATATATATATATATATAAATAAAGAGAGAGAGAGAGAGAGAGAGAGAGAGAGAGAGAGAGAGAAAGAAAGAGAAAGAGTGTTTATGTATTAGTAATACTGCATTAGCATCTTAGCGTAATATTTTTAAAAGTAAAGATCACCTTACCTTAAATCTTTCTGGCAAAAAGAGAAAGAGAGAGAGAGAAGAAGTGAAGATAAAGACACAAAAGAGCGAATGAAAAAGAAATGCTTATATATATATATATATATATATATATATATATATATATATTCTACAATTGAAAAACATAAATAATGATGGATGGATGGAAGTATAGAAGGAAAGTTGTTGTTAAAATATTCAAACGTGTTGTGTATTAAATATCTGCGATT